AGATCAACAGCAAATAGGTGGAGCCCTTTTCTCCCCGGCACCACCTGGGGTGTCGAGGAACAATGGTAATAAGCTGATGGACAATAGGTTTAGGTTAGAGATCAGAAGGCAATTTTTTACAGTTAGGTTGTCGAGAATCTGAAACCTACTTCCTAGGGAAGTGGTCCTCGCCCCTACCTTGGCAAAATTCAAGAGGAGGTTGGATGATCACTTGTCTGGGGTCTTCATTCCAGCATTCATTCCTGCCTGTAGCAGGTGGTCAGGCTAGATGATCTGTTCAGGTCCCTCCTGATCCTAGCTACTATGAAACTATCACATATATTCTTACACATTTTTCTCCCTTCCTCTCTATACATATTCCCTTACACATATATATGAAATCATGTTTACTCACATAACATACACACTCATGTACAAACACATTCTTACACAGTATCTTTCTGTCATACATAGGCACTTTTTCTCACATATATACACAAATGCACACACAATCACACTTGTTTACTCACAAAAGGCTGTCTATTCATATACAGTGAGAAGACATAAAAGCTTAGGCTTGTCTAACAATGATGCAAAAAATATCAGGGCCCCTTCTTGCAATAGTACTTGCATCCCTGTGGTATGTCCAACAAGTTCCTAATCCTGGCCTTGTTCTGATATGGCCAGCAGCAAGTCTACACAGACCCAATCCCAAGACTCTTAGGAGATCATGTGTCAAATGTACAGCTGCAGAGTGTGCCATGTCTTGGGAGATCTGCTTGGCCTGCATTCCCTCCCAAGATGACTACTGAGCTCCACCTGCTGGGCTACTGTGACCTTTCTTTGCACACCTGGCAGAGTGAGAAATCAGAGAGAAATACTGACAAATGAGGCAGTGGTCAAATATGCTTGGGGTGTGTGGTCTTTGATGTTGTCTAGAGGTAGGCAGCATGGTCTGGAATTAGAGATTTGAACTGTGAAGTCATATTTGGTGGTGAACCACCTTGAACAAAATCACTTCTTGTCTCTGAAATACCTTCTTTACCAAGGCGGGTTTTAGGCAAAATGCGGGAGAGAGTAAGATGTTCAGGGACCCTTTAGTGTTTGCAGAGGTATACTCTGTAATTAAGTGCCTTTGGGCAGGATACACTCTGTGCTTCGCTAGTTACTGTCCCAAAAGTCAAGTGCTTCATTTTCACAGTCTTTTGGTGTTTTCTTTCAGCTCGGCCACTCTCCCCATCACATTCAGGTGCTTAGAAGGAAACATTGGAGTGGATAGGCGTGTAACTAGATTTGTTCTGCCTGTGGGAGCGACTATTAACATGGATGGCACAGCTCTGTATGAGGCCCTGGCAGCCATCTTCATCGCACAAGTCAACAATTATGAACTTGACTTCGGGCAGATCATCACAATAAGGTGTGTTTGTGTGCGCTTGTATCATGGTTTAGCTGAGCCCTCCAACTTGTGCTGGATGGGACCCTGAGGGTTTTGAAAGCCCAATTCAAATGTGACCAGGCTTCTGCTCCACTTAGAAGATACAGTAAAAAGAGACAGGGGAGAGGGGGAGAGGAGAAGAAATAAATATAATCTAGACATCATACCTCTTGGGCCTCACTTATACCAGTGGTTGCCTACAGGGAGTTCCACTATAAAATGGCCAGAGGCCTGCAAAGCCCAATTTGTGGTACACAGTATGAGCCATTGTGAGGACCAAGCAGCAGGGGTTGGACCTGGAAGGTTGGGCAGGGAAGTGGAGTGGGTTTCTGACAAATTGACTCACATAATAAATATTGGTTTACCACTGAACTAGATAAGCAAGTTTTAAACTGAAGTGCCTTGAAAATCTTGTGAATTTAAATTACTTATGGGAAGCTCAGAATAGTCTTGTAAATTAAAAAAGAGAGATTGAGACCTTCCCCATATGTTGGATTCAGAATGGAATGCAAAGACACTGTATAGATGGTGAGTTAAAAATAAGCAACAAGTACTTGGTCAAACCTTTGGAAGTTCCCACAAAGGAATCCTTTGAGGTCTTTGCTGGAACAGAGTCTTTCAGAGGAAAGAATAATTTCTCCAAGTTTTGGATGATAACCAGGAGTTTGTTAGTATTTCTAGTGTTAGACTGATGGTTGTAGCCATGAATATCCATGAATATAATGTGAGAATTCAAGACACCCTTTGTAGCAAAATGCAAGCTTCAGGGGCTGCAACACAGCAGAAAGTAGGCAAAGAGTAAGTCTGGCTCAGTGAATGATAAATGGCTGGCCCCATGGGAGTTAAAAAGCACTGACAGAACTGCACAGCTGCAGAGTGCTTAAAAATGCCCAATCATGTGACAAATTGAACCCCCATTACATGAGGGTTCAAATGAAGGTGCTCCAAAGCAGGGCGCCTTCAGTAGCATTTGCCACTACAGGCCGGGAGCAGGGCTGGGCAGAAGCTTGTCTGTCTTTAGAATGAGAGGGGACAGAGATCTGTCTGGGGTTTGTCCAGCCTGCATTGGAGGATGGGGTGTGTAGATTGGAGTCCCCCCTGACCATAAGGTGGGGAGGCTCCAATCCACCCACCTCACCCTCCAGTGCAGACTGGGCAAATCCCAGACCAAGCTCCCTCCACTCTTCCCCCCACATTCTGAAGACAGCATCAGAGCTGGGAAGGGGGAGGGGCAGGACTAGGGAGGAGCCACTGCAGACACACAGCTGCTCCAAACTGGAGCTCAATCCCCCAGCCCCCAAGACCCAACAGCCAATGTCTGTTGTGTTGGGGGAGTGCTGTAACTCATGGCACTTCCTGTGAAGCACCATGAGTTACAACAGTGAGCTGCACATTTGTCAGTGCCCACAGTGTCTGCTGTGAGATCCTGATTAACTGGGGATGGCAGAGAAAAGAACTATAGAGGCAGCTGCAGAGGGCTGGTGCTGCTGCTGTGTTCAAGGCTGATTGTATGCATAGCGACTGCACGTGTGCACTGCATTGCACACTGATCACCTTTGCCCCAGGGTGACATGACTTTTCTCAGTGACTTGAGGCCAGAAGAGGTGTCAAAGCTGTTTTAGCTGATAGGGGTTTGAGTGCCTTTGAGTATATTGAATTTATTACTCTTACATTAATTGCCCCTTTTAATGACACTGGTTCTGTGATAAGGATGCTGGACTAGAATCATACAAGGAAGAAATCACTTGGTGAACTGTTGCACTTTTTTACTGTTAAAGTTGTGGCTTATTTACAGTTGGAATTTGCCTAGTATCAACTTCCAGCCACTAGATCTTGTTCTTCTTTGGTCTGCAAAGAGTTATCTGGTATTATAAATGTCCTATGTACATAGTCCTCATCCCACATGCAATTTATAGTTTGATGGTGACAGTGTGCTTAGGAGTCTAGTCAATGATGCACTGGAGGATAAGAGTATTGGCAAGATGGGAGTCCAGGAAGTGCGGTCGTTCCTAAAGGAAGTGATCCTTTGGGCACAGAGGGAGACTATCCCAGTACAAGGGAAAAGGGGGAAACGAGCCAAAAAACTTCCTTGGCTAAACAGGGAAATCCAAGGGAGCCTAAGGGCAAAAAAGAAGGCATACAGGCGGTGGAAGCAGGGGGAAGCTACCAAGGAGGAGTGTACCTACTTGGCCCACACTTGCAGGAAGGCAGTCAGAAAGGCCAAAGCAACTGCAGAGCTGAGGCTGGCAACACAAATTAATGACAACAAAAAGGTTTTTTTAGGTATGTAGGGAGTAAAAGGAAGGTGGAGGACAGTAAAGTCCCCTACTGAACAAGAAGGAGAAATTAGTGACAGACAGGGAGGACAAGGCTGAGCTATTCAATAAGTTTTTTGCCTCGGTGTCCCTGAACAGGGGTCAAGATAAGTCTCCTAAGGGGTTCTTAGATGGGCATCAGGTGACACCAGCCCACCAACTGTTGACGCTGACTTGGTACAAAGTCATTTGGATGGACTGGAAGTGTTTCAGTAGGCCTGGATGAGCTTCATCCGAGAGTACTGAAGGAATTGGCTGGTGTCATAGCAGAACCACCGGCATGGCTGTTTGAGCACTTATGGCATGCAGGTCAGGTCCTGGAGGACTGGAAAAGGGCCAATGTGGTCCCTATTTTCAAGAAGGGAAAGAAGGAGGATTTGAGTAATTATAGGCCAGTCAGTCTCACCGCCATCCTTGGAAAAGTCTTTGAAAAGATTATGAAGAATCATATTTGTGGGAGTCCAGCGGGAAAATGGAAAAGAGGTGGATGTTGTTTTCCTGGATTTTAGAAAGGACTTCGATACAGTATCTCATCCCAGTCTCATAACTGAATTAAGAGGCTGTGACATAGGTGTTTATACAGTCTGGTGGATGGCAAATTGGCTTAGCAGTTGCACCCAGAGAGTGGTAGTAGATGGGTCGGTATTGACCTGGAAGGATGTGGGTAGTGGGGTCCCGCAGGGTTCAGTCCTTGGACCTGTACTCTTCAATATCTTCATCAGTGACTTGGATGTGGGTGTGAAGTGTACTCTGTCCAAGTTTGCAGACAATACTAAATTGTGGGGTGGAGTGCACACTCCAGAGGGTAGGGAATGATTGCAGGCAGACCTGCACAGGATAGAAAAGTGGGCAGTACACAACAGGGTGCAGTACAACAAGGACAAGTGCAGAGTGCTGCACCTAGGGCGCAAAAATATCCAGCACACCTATTGGCTGGGAAGTGACCCTCTCAGCAGCACAGAAGCGGAAAGGGATCTCGGAGTCATAGTGGACTCCAAAATGAACATGAGTCATCAGTGTGATGAAATCATCAGCAAAGCTAACCACAATTTATTATGCATCAGCAGATGCATGACAAATAGATCCAAGGAGGTGATACTTCCCCTCTGTGCGGCATTGGTCAGACCGCAGTTGGAGTACTGCGTCCAGTTTTGGGCACCGTACTTCAAGAAGGATGTGGATAGACTTGAGGGGGTCCAGAGGAGGGCCACTTGTATAGTGAGGGGCTTACAGGACAAGCCCTATGAGGAGAGACTGAGGGACCTGGACCTCTTCAGCCCCCGCAAGAGAAGGCTGAGAGGTGATCTTGTGGCCACCTACAAATTCATTAAGGGGACACAGCAAGGGATCGGCAATGCTCTGTTCACCAGGGCGCCTCTTGGAGTAACAAGGAACAATGGTCACAAACTGACAGAGAGTAGATTTAGGCTAGATATAAGGAAAAACTTCTTCACAGTAAGGGTGGCCAAAATTTGGAATGGGCTTTCAAGGGAGGTGGTGCTGTCCCGTACCTTGGGGGTCTTTAAGAGAAGGCTGGATAGGCATCTGGCTGGGCTCATCTGACCCCAGGGCTCTTTCGTGCCTAGGCAGGGTGTCGGACTCAATGAGGTCCCTTCCAACCCTAGCATCTACGAGTCTAGGACAGTAAATGAGGTAGGGGCCACACACAAATGTTAAGTGTAAAACAGAATGTTGGACAGCTGCCTCATTTCCAAGCCACTATCCTTCCTGAGCACTGAATGAGGTGAGTAATTGTGGGGAATATAGTAAATGATCATAAAATACAAAATTATATAATAATGTTTTGATATATAGGGATAGGGTTATGATTCCACATGCAACCATAAATCTGGTGTATTATAATTTTCCTGTGCTGGAGTTTGCAACCCTAATATCATTTTAATGTAGATAGAGTTTTGCTTGTAATTAAAGACAGAGAATCAAACTAAAATAATTGTAAAACCAATTTTTCCACTTAAGTCATGGGAAGCTTTGTCAATAATTTTGCCACTGGAGCAGGAACATACACTAATTAAATGCAGTCTCTCCTATTTAGAAAGGCATGGCCTCTTTTTCTTTTCTTGCTGATAATTGTTTTTCTGTCCTCTCCAGCATCACTGCCACAGCAGCCAGTATTGGAGCAGCAGGTATCCCACAGGCAGGCCTAGTGACAATGGTTATAGTATTGACATCAGTGGGGCTGCCAACAGAGGACATCACACTGATCATCGCTGTGGACTGGTTTCTGTAAGTTCCTGCAGAGCAGCGGACACTGCCTAGTCCAGGTCCCTCTCTGCAGTATTCTGGAGTTTACTTTGCACAGTCCCTGTCAGGAACACTTATTTGAAATATTTGGAATCATATTGTTTCTGTTCCAGGAAAAAGGATTCAGTACTAAAATACTAGGGTTACAAGGGTTACACTACTAGGGTAATTAATTAAGTTTGTAACATGCACCTGTCCCCAAGATCATTCCTGTTCCTTAAAAAACCTTAAAACCTGCATATCCATAGAGCAGCAGCTGCCATATTTGATCATAAAAATGTGATGAAAATACTCTAAAAATAAACACAGTAGGCTGAAAGAACAATTCCCAATTCTGGGATTATTTGTAAGAAGGAAACTGAAGAGAGCTGTAGACAACTGACAGGGCAGCGAGGGAAGAGGGGCGTTGAATGGCAGAAGGTGCATCTATGCAAGTTTGCATTAGAGAGAGAGTGTTACTGAAGGTATGAGGCTGGTCGAGGAAAACTAAGGAAGTGGGAGCTTTTGAAATAAAGCTGGCTGTTGTGCTTAAAAATATTGCACATCTACTGGAAAAAGCTTTAAGTAATGCTTAAGCTTTTTCTGCTCAGCGTGTTGCACGAATTACCAATTAGCTCAAATGATGAGAGAGATAAGGCAAAATACCATGTTTATTGATTATAATATTGAAAAGAGCGCTCATACATACACATACACTCACTCTCAATTACTCTGCAGATGTTATAGTTACCAAAATTCATTGCTCAAAAACTACACTAGGTAGCCAGCATAGTTAGTATGAGATCAGGAATGGGGGATACAGACACATCTGTGTTCCAGTAAAGTTCATAGAGTGTTACCCCACCTCTTGCTGCTAAGTCTCTCTCCTTTATAGTTTCATAGTTTCTAGGGTCAGAAGGGACCTGAGTAGATCATCTAGTCCGACCCCTTGCCATGGCAGGAAAGAGTACTGGGGTCAAACGACCCCCGCAAGTTGTTCATCTAACCTCCTCTTAAAAACCCCCAGGGTAGGAACCTGCACCACTTCTCTTGGAAGTTGGTTCCAGATCCTAGCCGCTCTGACTGTGAAGTAGCGCCTCCTGATATCTAGCCTAAATCTACCCTCTGCCAGCTTGTG